GCCGCGCCCCGCGCCTCAACCCGCGCCGCACCTCCGCTATCTCCGCCCCCCCCCCCTCGCCCTTAGGCGCGCGACCGACGTGTCAGGGGCCTGGCCGAATGCCTCCGCGTCACGCCGCCGCGCACGGACGCAGCCGAGGGCGCCACCGGCAGCAGCGGCGCCACTGCCGGCGCGGCGGCCGCGGCGGCGTCGCGGCGGATGTGGGCGGCCGCCAAAGACTATTGGCTGCCGCCAGACCCCTCGGACCTCGCAGCAGCGGCGGCCGCCGTCGCGGGCGACGCCGCGGGGGACGACGAGGATGATGATTCCGGTGCGCCCGGCCTGGGGGGCAGGCCGGCGGGCGGGCCAAGCGTAATCAACGGGCTGGCGCTCCCGAACGCCGCGGCCGGCCCGCAGCAGCAGCAGCAGCAGCAGCAGGGGCAGGCACCCCTCGCGGCGCTCGTCGCCCGCGTCCGCGCCGGCGGCGTGCGGCTGACGCGCGGGCAGGTGGAAGCCGCCAGGAAGCTGCTCGAGCTGCGGGAGGCGGCGGCGCGGCGGCGGGAGGCGTTTGTGTCTGCGCTGTGGGGGCTGTCTGCGATTGGGGGGTCGTGGCTGTTCCAGGAGGAGGTGGAGGCGCTGCTGCAGGTGGGTGGTGGGTGGATGGGGATGAGGATGCGGATTGATGCGACTGAGACTGGGACTGGGACTAGGGGGTGGGCTGGACTGGGCGCCCCTTTATAGGCCGCTCTCTCGCGTCCTGCTGCCCCCATGCTCTCTCCTCAACTTTACACGCAAACTCCCAGCGACCAGCATCCCTGCCTGCACCCCTTGAGCAACCAAACCCCGCGGCACACGCCCTCTTCTTGCCCCCAGGTCGCCGCCCCCTCGCTGCCGGCGTGGCGCCTGACCGGCCGCGAGGCCGCCGACGCGCTGTGGGCGCTCGCAAACGCGCGCCACTGGACGCCGCTGCTGCCGCGGCTGGAGGCGGCGGTGGTGCGGGCGGGCGGCGCTAGGGCGCTGCGGGCGGGGCAGGTGCGGCTGGACCGCGGCCACCTCTCAAAAGCGGCGTCCGAGCTGAAGCCAGGGAAACCTTCACCACTCTTTCCCCCTGCGATGCAGTGATGTTTGCTGTTGTGGGATTCATAATAGCACGGGGCGCCGCCAGTTACAAGGCCTGTCTGAGCAGCGCCGGCCCACCAACGCGCCCTGACGCTCCTCTTGCTCTTCCCTCCTGACTCCCTTGCGTCAGCCTCCCTTGCCAGCTCTCATACACCCCGCTCTTCTCCCCCCTACACGCACTTGCAGACTCAAACACACACATGCACACAGACTTGCGTATACACACGCGCGCGCACACACACACACACACACACACACACCCACACACACACACACATCCACACACGTGCACGCAGGTGTCTGCTGTGATGTGGTCATTTGCCACCCTGGGCCACACCCCCTCTGACCTCCTGCGGGGCCTGGCGCAGGGCTGGGGCTCCGGACGATCAGGTGAGTGTTTGTGTGTGTGTTCAATTGTATGTGTGTGCGTACATGTTTATGTGTGTACGTTTTGATCGGTTTGTGGATGTGTGGATGTGTGTGTGTGTGTGCGCAGGCGCGCGGGCGCGCGCGCGCGTGTGTGTGTGTGTGTGTGTGTGTGTGTGTGTGTGTTTGTGTGTGTGTGTGTGTGTGTTGAGGGAGGTTCAGAGGGGCGAGCGTGTCTATTTGGGGACTGTATCGGAGCCTCCCGCGACCACCCCCTCCCTCTATCGCCACCACGACCGCAGGCGGCCTGCGGTCGCTGCAGGCCGGGCAGCTGTCTGCTGTGGTGTGGTCCCTTGCAGTCATGGGCCAGGCCGGGTCCGACGCCTTCAGGCTGGCCTGGGGCGAGGTCTGCCGCCGCGGCCCCGCGCTGGCCGCGCAGCGGCACCACCTAGTGCAGATCTGGCAGGCCGCCCTCGAGGCGCGGCTGCAGCAGGAGGACGGCGGCGGCGCGGGCGGCAGCGACGACGGCAGCAGCAAAGGGCTGCTGGAGACGGGTGTTGGCAGCGGCGGCGGCGGCGGTGGGAGCGGGGCGGCGGCTTTGCTGGCGGCGGCCGAGGCGGCGTTTGTGTCGGAGGGGGCGGCGCTGCGGGGGAAGGTGCACAGCAGCTACCAGCGGGGCATCGCCAACGCGCTGACGGGGATGCGGGTCATGCACGTCCTGGAGGACTCCTCCACGGGTGAGTCATCCTCTCGGGGGCGGTTCGGACTGCCCGCTTTGTTGGGCACGTGTGGTGGCCAGCCCAAGTAATCGGCGGTCAAACGTGCCGGACACCAAGCTATACAGTGGGAAGGGGGGGGATCGCAGCACGTGCTTGGAGGAGCCTGAAGTTAGCAACCAGCCGTCCATTTTTGTCAGTCGTGTGACGATCGCCCGTTTCCTGCATTACACCACATCGTCTGGCACTATCAGCAGTTGGTTAAGCGGCTGCCATGTCACCACGGCTTTGCGGGGCCCCCGGCATTGCATCCTGTCAGCATGAGTGCTCCGCCCTCGCCCACAGCACCCGCCCACCAATCAACGCCCCCATAATCCTAAACACCACCATCCAGGATACTCTGTCGACGTGGCCATCCCCTCCCTGCGGGTCGCCATTGAGGCGGACGGGCCATCCCACGTATCGCGCACCAAGCGCAAGCCGCAACCCCAAGCCGGCGCCCGCGGCGCCAGCGCCGGCGCCGCGGTGCCGCTGGGCGCGACGCTGATGAAGGCGCGGCACCTGCGGCGGCTGGGGTGGCGCGTGGTGAACGTGACCTTTGAGGAGTGGGACGCGCTGGGGTCGGCGGCAGCAAAAGAGGCGTTTTTGAGGGATAGGATCGGGCGCGCGGTCGGCGGGGACGGGTGATGCGGGGGCGGGGCCTCCGCCGCTGCCCCGGTGGCCCTGCTCGTGTCTGCTGCACCCTGTAACCTTTCTTGGACGACTGGCTAGCTGGTGTATGGGTGGAATGGCTTCTGGTGGGAGTGGGCGGTCGTGGGTGTGTGGTGTGGTTCGCACAACCGCTTGCTGCCATCGCGGGTGATGGTTGCGGATGACCGCGGGCGCTGCAGCGGGCGTGCGCGGAGTGGCTTCCACTGGTCCTGGGTCACACGAGCTTGACACAGCATGACATATGACCGGCATGAGCTTGCCTGGCATGCAACTGACGCCGGCGGCTAGTGGTGACGATGCAAACCGCTGTGGTGGCCAAGTCAGCTTGTCGATGGCACTTCATACGGACAAAATATTGTCGAGAATTTGGCGTATCGTGAACCCTTTGGTTGCCGTTCCCCAGTCTGTTCCTGAGTTGGTCGCAGAGTGTTCTGGATGGGACACACCCGGCAGCCAGAGACACCGCACATGGGCCCAGCAGTGTACCTGTAGGGACGCCAGGTCCATTGGATTGCATAGGTACACTTCACTTCAGCTGGTTCATCCTCAGATCACCGTCCAGGATGCTGCCCGGTCTACTCAAGGCCGCCAAGGGCCGGCGCGTCAGCGTAAGTTAGAGATCTTACTTACAAGTAGAACGCGACCGCGTAGCACCTCTGACGAGCCCCCTGTGCACCGCAGGCGGCACTGCTCACCGCAGCACGCGGCTATGCCTCCAAGGAGGTCCGCTTCGGCATCGAGTGCCGCGAGGCTGTCCTTGGTGGCGTCAACAAGCTGGCAGACGCCGTGCAGGTCACGCTCGGCCCCAAGGTGGGTCCGCCTCGGCCGCATAATTCCACGCCGCGCGCTGCCGCTGCTGCTGCTGACCGCTGCGCGCCCTGCGCTCCGCTTCCCTCCAGCCCCGCTCCCTCACCTGCCCACCCTCGATCAATCGCTCAACAGGGCCGCAACGTGATGATCGAGCAGCCGTACGGCGGCCCCAAGATCACCAAGGACGGTGTCACCGTGGCCAAGGCCATTGAGCTCAAGGACCGCTTTGAGAACATGGGGGCGTCACTGGTCAAGCAGGTGGCCTCCGCTACCAACGACGTCGCGGGTGACGGTGCGTCGCCACCTGCACCGCAACAGTCACTGCGGCCGCGCCGCGTCCGGCGCTGTGCTGCGCTGTTGTTTTCTCTGGTGCTGTGGGTGGAGGGCTTGTTGGCAGGCGGGTCGGGGCGCAGGTGCAGTTGGACGGTTTCATTTTTTGTTTGGGGCGTGGGAAAGCTGGGATCGCGGGCAACGCTGGTGTGTCATTTGCTGCGGCACGACAGCCGCGGCACGATGCCTTGCAGCCAGACAAGGCGAGCGGCGCGCCCCCAAGCCGCTATGTTGCGGGGGCTTGGGGCACGTAATCCAGCAGGGGGCGACTAAATCAAGCTGTCCTGCCCCTTGTCTCGCCTGGGGTCCGCAACCGGCCCCTGCGGCGGTGCAATTGTTTGATCGCACGCGCCCGCGAGCGCTTTCCTCTGGCCGAATGGCCCGCCCCTGGGGCCCGGGCGCGGCCGGCCTCCCAGGGGCCTGCGCGAGGGTGCCAGTGTGTTCCTCATCACCCCCGGCCCCTGGAAGGCGGCGCGCCGCCACAGCTCCTTGCCACGAGCCGCGCACACTGTGCCTCGAATGCGGCTAGGGGGAACGGGAACGTTCAGTTGGTTCACCCACAGCGGCAGCGCGCAGTCCGGCGGGCACGATTGGCCGCGCCGACGGCCGGCGGCGGAGGCCTGGCCCCTCCAGCGGGCGCCCCTCGCGGCCTCGCGGTTGGCAGTGTTCCCAGCCAGGGGGTCACCCCGATGCCGCAGCCGCAGCCGCAGCCGCAGTCGCAGCTGGCGGAGCTGACGGGGGTCGTGTATCGCCTGGATGCATACAGCTGTGATCCCCTGTCTCGTTCACACACACTTGTGAACACACACACTCTCACACACACACACACACACACACACACACACACACACACAGATCACACACACACACACGATCACACACACACACACAACCACACAC